GGATAAAGAGAAATACTTTTAACTGATGGTATATGGAGGGGATTATAATCAATGTAATGAAACAAGTTATATGAATTGTTGAATGTGAAACTGATGATGGGCCCTGTAAACTTTCACTCAATCCACAATAAAAACCTTAAATTAAAAAAAAAAAAATTTGAACCACTGACCCTATGCTTCAAAACCGACCTTACAGTCCAGTGTTTATTCTACAGCAGCACACCAGGACTCTACTCTGTGTAATGTTGTTGTTGAGTGCCATCAAGTCGATTCCGACCCATAGTGACCCTGCATAGGGTTTCCAAGGAACAGCTGGTGAACTAGAACCAGTGATGTTGCAGTTTAAACGACTTTGCAGTCTGACTCATTAGCCCACAGCACCACACCAATAGATATCATTATTCCCATATTCAATTAAGAGAAAGCAGACATTAACATGATCAAGGCCTTTGCAGCTAATGAGGGATCTGAGGTTTAAATTCATTAAGCAAATTGTTTTCCCCTGACTATTTTTTTGGTTTTTGTTTTTTTTTTCTACTGTGTTAATTATATAGGGTGAAAACATTTGCTATTCAACAGCTCTCACATATATTCAGTAAGTAAATCTGATAGCCCAACTCTCCTAACTAAACTTTTTAATGGTAAAAAGGTTTTTTCATGTAATTTTTTTTTTTTTTTTTTACAGTGGGGCAAGGTCAAAAAGCTCGGATACGACTTCTTTAGTGAAGGAGACTGCACAAATGAATGTATATGACTATACCAAACCAGTTGCTATCAAGACTTATGGTGAACTCCTGTGTGTCACAATAGAACTGTGCTCAATAGGGTTTTCATTGGCTAATAGTCTAGAAGTCAACTGCCAGGCCTTTCTTCCTAGGTGCCTCTGAATGGATTCAAATCTCCAACCTTTGGGTTAGCAACTGAGCACATTGCTATTTTTTTCATCCTGGAACTCCATATTTAACTATTATGAAATTTATGAAGGAAAGGTTCCTGGTGCCATGACAACATCTAATTGGTAACCTAATTTATTCTGAGGCACAGAAGAAGAGGAAAGAAATACTAAGAAGTGAGGGACCTGAAAAGGAGCTGAAACTTCAAGACACATAAAAAGATGAGGATAAATGAGCACAAAAATCAATGGGGAAAGCAAGCAAAGGTCAGATGATCAGTGCCTTGAAAGCTGAAATTAAGTTCAGACATTTTCCTAAGAGATAAGCCACTGAAAGTTTTGTTGTTGTTTTTGCCAATTCAACAATTTGTATATATGTTAAGTCCAGGTGCGGTGCTGTAGGAAAAGAATCAACTGGTCGGCAAGGGATTTGCTTTGATTATTGAAAGTATAGAGCTTGTTGTTATTAAGTGCCATAGATTCGGTTCCGACCCATAGCGACCCTGTATAGGGTTTCCGAGGAGCAGCTGGTGAGCATGAATTGCCGACCTTGCGGTTCAAACCAACGCTGTAGTCCAGTGCATTAACCTACAGCACCATACCAGGGCTCCATGGAGCTTGTTGAGTCTTGCAAACTCTCTCTTCTTCCTCCTTGTCCCAATTCCATTCCACGATACTTCTAGGCCGGAGTGTCCCCGCGCCCACACGGCCACCGGCTCGGTCCCACACTCACACAAACACGTCCCCGTCCACGTCCCCCGCCGCCAGTAAGTCGCGGGCCGGATGGAATGCCAGACCGCTGGCCGGGGCTTCCAACACGATGTCTTCTGGAGTGTCCCGGATCAGGGTCGGGGTCTTAGCGGAGTCAGGATCCTCCCCGTCACTCCCAGATTCTGCAGACTTCTCACACGTGTCTTCCATGCTCTCCCGAGTTCGAAGTCACGCAGCCCCTAGCCCGCCAGCCCTACGCAGCTGGAGGAGTGGCCCAGGCAGTGCCTTACGTAGGGGGGCGGGGCCATGGTGGGAGCGGAGCCGGAAACCGCGCCTGAGTGTTTCCGTCACTCGGAGAGAGAGACAAGCCGCTACTTAACTGGTGTGGGTGAGGCTTACGGAAGACAGTGCGCCTCCGTTACTGGCTACTACTTATCCTGCTGAGGCCAGTACTTGGGCTAGCTAGACCGCGCAACGCTCTATCCCCTCCTTGTTCACGTGTACCCTCCTTCTTCACCGTGTACCATCCTGACGGGCCCATCAGTGCGCCTTCTCTCAGTCAGTAAACTTCATGCTGTTGGGACTGGAGAGAGGAACGCCAGTCTTTAGTGACATGTGAAACCCAAGGCCATGGTAAGCTACAGTCAGGGTGATCAGGAAGCAGCAAAAGTCCACCCTGCGAGATGACACCATGCGGGGTCGTGAACATATGGCGACCCGCACAGACGCGCAATCTGCTGCCATCTAAGCGCAAAAGATTCATGACCAAAGAAACAGCGCCCTGTTCCCATTACACTTTGGCTCCAGATGTTCAGCTGGATAGCATGGCATGCTTAGAGCTGGTGAGAAATTGCCAAGGGAAAAGTAGGTGCAGCAGTTGACATTCCAGACATTATTCCATTCTGCATGTTGGGGGCAGATGACCCTATAGATGAAGAGAACCAGTTCACACTGCTGTAGTACTTGTTAACTGCTGTCGAGTCGGTTCCGACCCATAGCGACCCTGTATAAGGTTTCGGAGGAACAGCTGGTAAGCTTGAATTCAAACGACTTTTCAATCTGGCGCATTAATCCACAGCGCCACACCAGGACTCGCTGTAGTACTAAACTTTCTAAAAATTCTTCATGTGCTAGTGCCCACCTATTTATTTCTAAAGGAGTTGAATATGAGGCTGACAGTGACTCATTGTGTGCTGATGATTGCTCTGTAAGCCTCCAATCAAGTCACAATAAAAAATTAAAAAACAAAACTGTGTGGTGTTGGGAAACCTTGATCACTTCCACGAGGTTTGTTGTTGATAAGTACCATGGAGTTGGTTCCGACTCATAGTGACCCTGCACAGGGTTTCCGAGGCTGTACATCTTTACCGGAGCAGAACGCCTCATCTTTCTCCCGTGGAACCGCTGGTAGTTTTGAAATGGGGACCTTGAGGTTAGCAGCCCGATTTGTAACCACTAAGCTACCAGAGCTCAAGGTTTAGTGGTACTTAAAGAAATGGAATTGTAAATTGACAGTCAACTCCTAGGTTTTGCTGGTAGTGACCCTTAAGGGTCTTATCTGAGCCATGTCTCTGCGACCTTTACCCTAATTGAACAGTTGCCTACAACCGTAGGACCAGAGTTAGTATGGCTGAAATTGGCCATTCTAGGAATTGTTGGAATCAGGGCCCAATTTCAACCTCTAAAGTGTCATGCACAAAGATGACTTCCACAAAAAAACCAGCAGTCTCTGGGTGGTGCCGATAATTAATGCACTTGGCTGCTAACAGCAAGCTTGGAGATTGAAGTCTACCCAGGTGTTCCTCAGAATAAAGGCCTGAGTGCCCTACTTCTGAAAAATCAGTCATTGAAAACCCTATAAGGCACACAATTCTATATTGACACACAAGTGATCAACTCCACAGCAACTGATTTTATCAAGGTAGTGTGATCAAACACTAATGAAGTGTTGGCAATTAACACAGAAAAGGAGGAAAGGAATGATTTGAAGTTCAGGAAGGTCCATACTGGGCCTGGGACAACTTTTTAGGGTGATGAAGGGCACCAAACCCTTCTGGCCTACTATAGTGCTTCCTATATCTGCAGGACCATGCTAGATCTACTCCAAGACGTGTGGCCAAGGCTATCCTATCAGCCAAGAAGGCAGCAATTTATGCTCAGCACTACTAAAGCTAAAGTTCCAGGTCATAGGGTCACAGATGGCTTTCGTTTCTAGGATTCTCATCAGGTGCCTTCACCCAGAACTCAGTCCTACTTAGTGTTGGGTTCATACTAAGAGTCACATCAGGCTGGCCCAATCCCCAGGGAATCTGCCCTGGGACTAGGTCCTTAAACAGACTTGAATGTGAATGACATCTGAGACCAGTCATCTTTATGTTCCTCTCTCCACTTGACTCATCAATGAGAGTCATTCTTTATTCACTGGGTATACTGGCTAGTAAGCCTCCTTATTGTCTATGAACCTAGAGCCACAGCTTAGGAAAGGATCAAGATGATTTTCTAAAAGTGCTTTTACACAACCTGTAGAATTGGCTCCAAGGGATCTGGTGCAAGGATGTCCAACATAGAGAAGGTAAGACATCAGATTAGCCAATTTTAATGAAACTAAATGATCATACAAAAAAATTATACACATTCAAAACAAAACAAAACATCCTGGAGCCTTTCCGGGATAGTAGCAAGAAAGCAGTGCAAAATGCATCCTAGCAGAGATTTCCTTCTGGAGATGGTACTGAAGATTAGTATTTTGGTCTTTTGACCTCAACCCTGAAATGAAAGGAGAGATGAGTCAGCCGAAAATCATTACACTAAGCAATTCCCACCAGTCACAAAGAATAGTGTTGCTCACCCATCAGCCTCCATCTTCTTCCTCTTCTCAATGATCTGCAAAAATAAGAGAAATAGTTGATGGTCATTCTGCCCATCTAAGCTCACCTGAGGCCCAGGCTGACCCCTCTCACTTCAGGCCTCTCCAACTCTCTACCTGTTTCTAAGTCTGTGAACTTGTGTCTTCTCCCAGCTGGAGACCTCCCACCCCAAGGTGCAGTCCCACTTACTGCACTAATCTTCTTCCACTGACGATCAAGCTCTGCCTTGTCATTGGTTTCTTTGAAGCGCCTGGTTTTCCGGCCTTCAGACATCTTGATACCATACTGGAATGCAGCCCTGAGAACAAAAAGGGTGGTTGGGGGAAAGAGGCCATAGAGGTTGCTCAGCAGTATCAATGTTTTCCCAGAAGGCCCTGTTGGCAGACAACCTATTTGGGAATGTCTCAACCAGACAGCATCCTCTAATCTGGGGTGAACCAGTCCACCCCAATCCTCCTTGCTCCCTGCCCAAATGTACTACCAGACTCACTTGGGCAAAGCCTCCTTGTTGTTCATATACTCGCTGTATTCCTCCTGGGTATCAAAGTCCCATCGGCCTAAGGGGCCCTTCTTGTTACCCTGTTGCAGGATAGAAAGGAGACATGGAGAAGGGAAGAGATGTCAGTGGAAATGGAATTTTGCCAGTGGTTATAGCCAGACTCTCCTACAATCCCAGGATCTCCTGGAGACCAGAGAGATTTGACTTTCCCCATTCATAAATCCTAAATAAGTAAGAGTAGTAACTCCTTAATAGTCACTTACTATGTGCCAAGCCTTACGTTCCACTCAATACTAAGCACATATCATATTTAACTCTCACGGATGCAAAAAAAAAAAATAAAAAACACACAAAAACCTTGTAAAGTGGGAACTATGTTTTTCTCCATTTTCTAATGAGAAAATGGAAACATAAGCAGTAAAATATCATGGCAATGTTACAAAATCAGGATTAAACAAGGCTCCAAGATGGAATTAAATGTGCTCTTAATCAATGTAGTGAGAATAAGGGAAAAGTAAGATCCCTTCAACACAAGTATTTATTTTAAGACTTAAGAGGGAAATTCTATCCTGGCTAGAATAAGATTAGGTTATTTCTAAAGACTGCAATTCCTTCTATCCTTTCTCCTTATGCATTAAATGGCCTTGTATTTTGTTGTAGGAAATAAAAGGAAATCGATTTGGCCCTAATTTAGTTTTTCTTATACTGAGACTTTAAGAGAACTAAGCTGACCATGACCCCTCAAGGTTGCAGTTCCTATCACTGCAGTTGAGGGTTGTTGTAAAGTGCCATCGAGTCACTTCCACCTCATGGTGGTGACTGTGTGCCGTGGAGTCGGTTCTGACTCATAGCGACCCTGTAGACCTCGTATAGGGTTTCCGAGGCTGTAAATCTTTACAGGAGCAGAATGCCTCATCTTTCTCCCGTGAAACAGCTGGTGGTTTTGAACTGCTGACCTTGCGGTTCGCAGTCCAATTCATAACCACTATGCTACCAGAGCTCCTTCTAGTGATCCTGTATATAGAGTGTCTAAGGAGCAGCTGGTGGATTTGAACCGCCAACCTTGCGGTTAGTAGTCCAGTGTTTATCCTCCAGTACCACACATAGTTGAGGGTGGGGCTTAGTAACTGAGATGCAGATCATTTGGGGATGGAGGAGGGCATAAAGAGGTCAAGAAGCACCCTTCCCCCTGACCCCCATACCTGGTCCATTTTGCTATAGTCCACTTCTTCATCGCTGTCCACCGCCATGTCATCCATCCTAAAGAATAACAACAGCTAAAGAGATGCTGCAGACCGCGCCGCCTATGCTTCATATAGAAACCCAGCTAACTATGAGGTTATATGCTTAGGACTGACCTCTGCCCCCAAGGGGCCTTGGTGGTACTGTAGGTTAAGTATTGGCTGCTAATCAAAAGATTGGCAACTGGAACTCACCGGTCTTTCCACAGGAGAAAGATGAAGCTATCTGCTTCCATAAAGATTTACAGTCTAGAAAACTCTATGGTGCAGGTCTACTCTGTCCTATAGGATCTCTATGAGTTGGAATTGACTCACTGGCAGTGGGTAGACCACCCTCTTAGAACTCCCACTCATAGTCTAACAAAATATCAATAAATCAAATTTCCATCTCTCTCTCCAACTTGTTCTCAATCATCCCAGCCTCCATTCCTTATAGGATCTTACGTACGTGGCTGGGTAGCATTCTGCATAACTGTTGGACATGCCGAAGAAATCGCCCAGCTGCTTTTTGTCCTCTGGCTTCTTCAACATATGCTAGGTTAAAGAAATTACTACAATTCCACCTTCCTCAAAAAAGCTTCTGGCAGAAGGGACCAAGGGTTA